TTATGTATCAATGGTTATCATTCAAAATAAAGGCCAGTTTAACAGATTCTTGACAGTCCCAACTCATATCTTACTCAGTTGTACACTAGAAATACAAAATAGGCTTTTCCAACATAGAGTAACACGCTTATTCAATCACATACCAGTAAGAAGTGACAGTAGGTCACAGCAAAGTGATATAGTAGACAGGAGCTGAACAATATCCTAACTGGTCATGGTCACTAACCAAACCCTAATCTCGATTGCAATGGAGCCAATTCCAACTCACAGCAACCACACAGAACAGTAGAGCTGCCCTATGGTTTCCAAAGGTTCCTAGGCTGTAATCTTTACGGGCTCAGACTGCTCCATCTTTCTACCAGAGTCAACTTGAACTGCCAGTGCAGTTATCTGGACCCACAACAGGTAAAACTGTGTCCAGCATATTCTTGAGGCTAGAATGACTCATTTCAGAAAGAGTTCCAATTCAGAACAGTTACCATCAAATCTCCCCCAGAAAGCCGGAGGCTTCCATTCTTCTACAAGTAGACTTCCTCATACCACACACTCATGAGCTCTTCAAGTATGCTGTCCACGCGATACTAAATGCCACGTTTAATACTCAATAAACAAATGAAACTTTACAGTAGCAATAGCCAATAAAAAGATTCGTAGTTCTAACAGAACCTAACTTTTAATAGTAGAGCTCTGGCCTGAAGTATTGGGCTATTAACCATAAGGTCAGCAGATTGAAGCCGCCTGGAACTCCTCAGGAGAAAGATGAGGCTATCTGCTCCTGTCAAGAATCAGTTCCTAGTCTATCCTCTGCAGGGTCGCTATTAGAACAACCTTGATGGCAGTTTAACATTAGAGACTAGAATGATGTTTAAGAAATGAAAGCTCAACTGAAGGTTAGAGATTTATATAAAATGGTAACAACCTTCTCAAAATGTAATATATTGGTGACTTCCTTAAGTATAAACTTGTCTCTTTTTCCAGTTTATATAGCTCCTCGGATTTTGAAAAACTGTAAATGAACTGGCCCTGCGATTGCTGGGGGGCATCACCAGAACAAAAAATCCTATCATTGTGAATGAGGGGGAGTGCGGAGTGGAGACCCAAAGCCCATCTGTAGGCAATTGCACATCCCCTTACAGAAGGGTTGCAAGGAGGAAACAAGCCAGTCAGGGTGCAGTGTAGCAACAACGAAACATACAACTTTCCTCCAGTTCCTAAATGTTTTCCCCCACCCACCACCCACCCCACTATCATGATCCCAATTCTACCTTACAAATCTGGCTAGACCAGAGGATGTACACTGGTACAGATAGGAACTGGAAACAGGGAATGCAGGGCGGATGATCCCTTCAGGACAGCGGTGTGAGTGGGGATACTGGGAGGGTGGGTTGGAAAGGGGGAACCGATTACAAGATCTACATATAACCCCCCTGGGGGACGGACAACAGACAACTGGGTGAAGGAAGACATCGGAAAAGAGCAAGACATGTCAAAATAATAATAAATTATCTAGGGTTCATGAGGGAGCAGGGAGGGAGGGGGAAAATGAGCTGATGCCAGGGGCTTAAGTGGAGAGCAAATGTTTTGAGAATGATGGGGGAAATGAATGTACAAATGTGCTCTACACAATTGATGTATGTATGGATTGTGCTAATAAAATGATTGGGGAGTGGAAGAAATTGCCCGAGGAGAAGAGAAAGTCAGCCATAAAACACAGATCCAGTGAAGATAGAGCACTTGTGTGTAAATAGGTTTATATCTACATGAATATGGCTAAAATAGAAAAAATCACATTAAGGGCATAACTTCAGAATGGTTGTTGGGTGCTTTAATCTGCATTTAACATTTTCAAAAAGTTAACATTTCTTTGATATGGATTATGGACATTTTAAGTTCTTTTCATATTTGTAAATCCATAGTTTATAACTTATAAACAAGTTACAAATGTGACATAAAATAGCCAACTAGTGAATTACATAAATGTATCTGAGATTCACCAAAAATGTCTTATAAAATTAGTGCAACATACTACGCTGATGAGAACAAGCACAGATATCTTAAACTAAATTTAAAATTACTTTCTGTACCAATATTCTAAAAGTTTAGTGTCATTCTTTTCTCACTTTCTGTTCAAATATACTATCATCCTGATACCAAAGTACCATTCACAACATTCAAACTATTTAAAGCAAGTTTATTCTTAACCAGAAACTTCAGGAGACCCTATTTTCTATCTGTTGTGTGATTTTTTTGGTCAACACAAAAGTGTTTTTCAAGTTATTTTGGTTTTCCTTTTGTTTCAAAATGGGGTGAGGAGTTTTAATACACCATTTATTTTAAATATAGAACCCTGCACTATCAAAAGGTGGATCAAAAAATTACTTATAAACAAAATGAGTTAATTTGATCATCTTTATCTATGTAATCAGGATTGAGACATGGTAAAACTTTTTTCTTTTAGTTTTACAAACCTCCATACATTTGGGCACCAAAGAGAAATCATTAACAAAGTAAAGAATTTTACAGTGTAATCTGCAAGCAATAAAATCCATGAACTCTAAATGTATAATTCAATGAATTTCAACAAGTTCTTTCAGTCCTGGAACCAACCACAATTACATAGAACTTTTAATACCTTAGATGCTTCTTCTGTTTCTTTGCAGTTACTCACACGGTATCTGCAATCTGTTATCACTATACACATTTAATTTTGCCTTTTCTGGCATTTCAGAAAAATAGAATCATACGCCATATAGTGTTTGTGTCTGACTTATTTCACTTAGCAAAATGCTTGATATTCAACCATAATGTTGCTTTTTTTTTTTTACTGATACAGTATTTCATTTTATATATGTAACACATTTTAATTTATCCAATTTCATTTTGCTGCCAAATTTGGAGTAGTTATGATTAAAGGTGCTATGGATATTCAATCATAAGCCTTTGGGTAGAAATGTTTTAACTTCTCTAAGATAAATATAGTTTTACTTTGTAAGAAACTGCCAAGCTTCCAAGTAGCTGTCCCAGTTTGTATTCTGACCAGCATGTATGAGAGATCCACCTGCTTAACATCCTTGCCAACACTTGATGTTGTCAGTTAAAAAGCTAAAGAATTTGAATGCTATTGCCTACACTACTCTTTAGATCTACTATGATGCAACTATGTCATCTAAATCTCCCTGTGCCCTCAAATGCTCTTGGTAACATGTGATCAACAATGTTATGCAGTGAATGGCCCAATTTAACCTGATCAACATCTCAGCAGTGCACAGAGGAAACTCAAATTTAAAGGTATAAAGCTTTAAAAGTGGATAAAACAGAAGAAATTTCCCTAAATTGACAATTCCACAATTCACATTTCTATGTTCCATCTTGATTAGTTTGCTGATATAGTTTACCGTATATACTCGAGTATAAGGCAACCCGAGGCACCTAATTTTACCACAAAAACTGCATTAAAAATGTGCTGAAGAAGTAGGCTTATACTAGAGTCTATATGGTAAGTTTCTTTTATAACAACTGGATAAAATTCTCCACATACTGATAAAGTACTTAAGTCTACTTTAGTAGTAAACTACTTAAAACTAACCATTAAACTAGCAAGTAACATTTTGTTCCAGTATGTGTAGATTCTTCATTTTATATCAGTACATGAAAAATGTGATAATGTGATGCCAACACAATTTATGGTTAATTTAAAACAGCAGCAAATAAGTCACTTGCATTAACAGTTGCATACTCAATTTTAATAATTTAGTTTTTCTATTTGGCTTAGAAGATACAAACTGATTTCCCAGCAATCATTTAGAACAAAATATGTAGGGTTACTTTCTAAACAATTTATATCACAAATGGCTGTATATCCCCCCTTTTAATATGAGACCTCTATTGCTTTTGTACAGAAAATGCAACTTAAGACTTTTTACCATCATACTAGATTAAGTGAAAAGTATCAGCAAATTCCATGACTTGCTGGCATTTTCCATCTCCAAATGTAGTAAATGTCAATAAGGCTGATAGTAAAATTCTCTTTAACAGATAAGAAAATAAGCCAGTATTTGATTGGGGGTGGGGTGGGGAGCAATTTTAATATACACATTTTTTAAAACTCTTCTTAGCTGCCACTATAATTTCTTCTAAAAACAAAAATCTGGACATAATGAATAAGGCCAACAATAGACTTGATAAAATAGTTGAGTGGATATAAATTAATAGTTGATTTGAGGAAAGAGCATCAAGATTCAACTGAAAGCAAGGGTAAGAACTTGGGATTAGAAACAACAATGTGTTTACATCAGAGTCACAAAATCAAAGGATAGGGGGAAAACAAACAAAAAAATATATTTCCCAGAGCATTCAAAATGTAAAACTAAACTTCCATTCTAAACCTATA